GGCCGCCGCATGGAAGTAATTACGATGCAAATCCTGGATTTGACGTGATCGAGGAGGAAAGCCATGGGTTTTGTGGAACCTTACTACTAATTAATGTGGAGGTGAGGAGTGTTGCCAAAGGATTTTTTTTTTTTTTTTTGGGCCCCTCAGCATTATTACAATTTCGAAAGTTACAGATCTATGAGGTTAGGAGGAATAATAAGAGTCATTGGTTTAGCATTTTTTTGTTTTTTAACGACCTATCTAGGCAATACTTAACTGAACGTAAACCCACATCCAACTCAATGTGTAGTGTAATAAAATTTAAAATAAAATATATTCCAATGTTATATATATATATAATTAAAGAAAAAAGTTCACATGTTATGCTATTAAAAGAACAAAAAAGCATCTTTGATAAATAATATTTAAAAAAATCATACTTAGAGGGTCTATATAGTGGATCAAGAAGATCTAATTTTTTATAACTATGATTTTGAAATTAATGAAAAGCTCCAAGTCAGAAAAACATACATCAAAATTAACATGAAAAATCTAAGCTTGTTAATCAAATCGACTGTATCTCATCCTACTCTTTTAAACTTTGTATACGTGAGACTATTCCCTTAAATCTTTTTCAATTTCTGTCTCTCATACAAATGAATATTTGCGTTAACTATCTTTTATTTATAAGGTTAAGGTAAACTATAGATCTATTTTTCTTCTTCACTCACTCGAGTACGATCAACATTTCACTAGTTCATATTCTTTAACCTTGGTTCAGATAGCATGTTGAAATTAATCGTGAGTTAACATCAAAGTAGTTCAAGTTTTTCTCTTAATATTTTTAAGCTCTAGATTTCTAACATTCTTTTGTTTCTTTTTCATGAACAAACGTACGATAAAACCTTTCACGAACAACACCCATTATTACTCAGCTTGATTAGGTTCCTCTCTCTCCCTTCTTTAGTACTCTTTCTTAACAAGAGTTGAAAAGCTCAGTTCTCGTCTCCTATCAATCTTAACCGATCTAAGATTCCTCCGCTTAGACACTGTTGGCAGGAAGATGGATTATATTGGCATCTAACAACTGTGGACATGGTGGTTTCTCCATATTTGTTCTACTTTGTGGCTCTATATTTCCATGACCTGCATTATCTAATCTTGACAGCAATGTTTCTCTGGATGTGTAGCAAATACCATGTGAGATTGGAACGAGCATCAACGGTTGCACATCACTGTATTTTATTCACACAAGAAGAGAAGTATGGGGAAGAGAGCGGAATAACTCCATGGAGGCCTCTCTTCATAGCCCAACTGCGTATAACTCCATCTATGGCTTCCCGCAACGTAACTCGTTGAGTGCATGCAACAAACAAGTGATATGCAATGCCGTCACAACACCCGCTCTCTTCCATCAGCAAACTCTATCGATCCATTCGATGATATCAAGAAGAAAGAAGCAAGAGTCAATAACAGCGAAGCATATGGATCCTAAATGACTCTGCTGAGCAGCCGTGAGCTCACTGCTCATTGCAAAGTGCAGTGAAGCTGTGAGCTCACAGATCCTTACGTAAAACGTATACACAAAAGAGAAGAAACCTACTACTATTTAACTGTGTACTTCTTCTGTCAGTGGTAGTCTCGCCAGCAAACGAGCATCGTGACACAGCGGCGCATGATGTATAACCTCGCCCTCTGCTCCTTCACTTGGTTGGCACACCGGCTGGAGAAGGACCGCGACGTCTTTATCGTCGTCGTCCTCCGCCGGCCTTCCCTTGTGCTCGCCGACCGTTTCAAGAACGGCCCTCCTTCCTCCTCCGCAGCCGCCACCACTCTTCTGCCCCCGCTGCAGCTGTTCCTAATCTCCTTATTCGCCACCTTCCACTTCTCGTCCATGTAGATCTCGACTTCCTCTCCCACCACGTCTACTATTTCCGATGGGGCAACTAAGGGTATATATAAAGGGAAGGAGGAAATTGGTGTGGATTCGTGGTGGGCAATGGGCATCACCACCTGGGGTATCACATTTTTATTCACCAAAGAAAAATCTAAATATATCACCTCAATACTCTAATACAAACTGTGCTTTTGACATCAGCACAGAGAAAAAACAAAGATTTCACTCACTCGCCTCCTAAAATTCAGAAAATCTAATTGACCTTTAGTGCATACAAAAATGTGATAACTTGGATTCAGAGAAAAGGAATAAACTATCATGTTTAAGATCTTGCAGCATCCACTTCTAACTAGGACCTTAATTTGGAAGCACAATGCTAGTAGCCTATGAACTGTCCGGCTACAGCTTTCAAGATGCGTACATTTTGTTAATAATATATATTCTATGTAAATAGAGCTTTTATATATATATATATGAATCATCATGCACAGAGGTTTACTGCGATGTGTTCAAGGATAAAGATTCCTCCCAAGGTTGACCGGTCAATGTTGGGAACCTTCTCACGCAAATGCATGAACATAAACAGGAGAGATGAGATTCCAAAGTTAATGCAGCCATGTGAGATTTAGGCTGGTCTGAATCATGCACTCTGTCAGTGCCTGTATGGAATCTTTGATTGCTTCCATATGCTTAGAAGTTACGAGTTCCCTGAACCATTATTGAGGCACAAGGTTTGAACCTCAGAATCTAGCTATCATGCATGTACTTTGGGAAGGTAATATAACGGCAAACTAGGTTATAGATCATACAAAACTTAACAAATGTGATTGTACCTGATAAAGGGTGGCCTTCTCTACCTTAATTTTTTGGTATATTTGCGTATTAAATTTGAATTCTTATGGACATATTTCTCTATGGAAGAAAGCTCTTTTCCGACTTTAAGCATATAAAGAAATATTTGGTTTCTACATTGTTGAACCAAATTTCATCACTTAAATAGTCACATTTTTCAAACTTGGAATATCTTAGAATGCTATTGTTTGTTTTTTTTGGTCTTTTTCATTTAGAACTCCTTTGAGATTCACTAAAGCTACAATAGCTAAGTATCTTTTAAAAAATTGAAATGATAATAAGAATTATTTTTCCATCTCGCCCTTTCATTGTCAGCTTGTCATAAGGTTTGAACCCCTCTAAAAGTGTTATCATGAAGCATTTGTTGGCTCCTCTGTGAGTTGCAAGAAGCATGAAGCATGTTAAATGCATGCCCTAATACAACTAGGCATAGTCAGGACATGAACTCTTTGAGCCACAACATGTATAAGCGAAGGGCTTCATATTTTATGACTGCTTTGCATGTGGCGGCCACGATGCACAACCTCAAAGCCAGTCAAATCTAATCAATTATATCAATTACTTTGGTCCTTAGATCAAGTTGTAGTTCTTAAACAATGCAAACACATCGCCCTCGGGGAAGTTGCTTGCTCTTCAAACAAAAATCATTTTCTATCTTCCATTTTTCTTACTCTAGATTTTGACCTGCCAGAACCATTGCAACACTTGTCTTGGGCCGATAGGGTTGATGGCCATGTGGGCTTGGCTTATGCAATGGGCTTACAGACTCCAGGTTGACACAAAGAGCCTCTTTTTTACCTTACAAACCTGAACAAGTCTTATACAGGCAAAAAACCAAATAAGTAATATGCAACTAAAAGCTTTTTGTTGTATAGGTAATCATAATGGACATGCAATTTTCAGAACTTTGGGGTATAATTGGGGGGATAGACTTACGACAATTAGGCTCGTTTTAATAAAGCAGTAATTTTTTTTAGATTACCCATCGGAAATGTGAGACTAGCAAACATGATTTGGTTAAAATTGGGTTGATTCAAATAGTAAATGATCATCAAACGAAGTGCGGGTCTTTACCTTTCGTGAATTCTAAGGGGAATTAGAAACGAGAGCAGCAGATCGAATAAAAGAATATGCACACAACGAATTCTCAACTGAAGGCGACGAAACGACAAACCCTAAAATCCAAAAGGAGGAGAAGGAACTGACCTCGATTCGCTAGGGCTTCCTCCACGAAGGAGCGGATCGAGTGGAGGGAGTGGCGCGGCCGGCCTTCTCCGGCTGGATCTGGATTTCACGGTGCAGCTCCGCCATCCGGCCGTCCATGGCTTCCTACGGTCCTCGCGCAGCATTGCTTCGCCAACGAAAGACCACTTTGGAGAGTGTTTGCCGCTTTAAATTCGAGCCACGCCTCCCGGGAAACCCAAACATTTAATGGAGCAGGTCGCAAACGGATCTTATTAGTGTGATCCGCATCCGAGTTCCCCATTCCCATTGGAGTGCTCTACTATTGCAATTCTTAGATATTAAATGTGATGTGGGATTATTAGTCATTGATATTTTTATAATATAATAATAATAAAGAAAATAATAATAATAATAATATGATAATAAAAACTTTAATATCTAAAATAAAAAATGACATTTAAAATAACACTTTAATTTCATTTAAATATATCATTTAAATGAAATTAAACTTACTATTATAGAATCAATAAGAAATATATCATTTAAAATAAAAAAAACTTAATTCATTGATTCTTTTTTATTATCTTATTACAATCCTTTGATCTTTTTTATATATTTTAAATACAGAAGAAAAAATAATAAAAATACTATCATATCAGAGCTAAGCAAATAAATTATTTTAACCTTCATCTTGTTAAGTAATTTTTTTATATATTTATTTTTACCATAATCAATTTAAAAAATAAAATGAGGAATAATCCTGATGTTGGCATATGACAACTTACAAATTTTGTAGAATTTTCTAAAATAATAAGAAACATATGAAACTGTCGGATATATCTCAACTTCACTCATCTTTCATTACTACATGACATATCTGTAGAAACCTAAACATCCATGTGTTCTACCAGATATTAAACATATATATGAAACCATGGACCATGAAAGATATCATTTGGAAGCTTCTAAGGAAATATTTAGTCCCTTGTACCTCAACACTAATCTTGCAAACAGTCTCAGCATATCAGATTTACATCTAGCACAGCACAATGATGTAAGAATGGAAAGGAATTTCTTGTTTCCATACACAATCATAAACATCTCATAGGTTACTTTCCGTAGATTATGATAATTAGAAGTTGAAACCAACAGGAAAGCCTCTGAAATAGTTACATGCACAATGTTGAATCATACAAAGAATAGATTTGTCCAGTGTCACGTGATTTACAAAACAAGAACATCAGAGATTAAAACGTTTTACGATCTGCATCGCTTTCAATGATTAGCTTAGGTCTGTTGAACCAGGTATACTCGACCATAAACCCAGCGCTTACCAGGTACCGTGAAGGATTGCTGCATTATAAAAAAACCAAAATTACAAAGAATCAACAATTGAAAATGATAATTTTAATCGTCATGGATCGCAACTAATGAAAGTCTAGAAAATGGATTTGGATGGTATCTAATGCTCTTCCGACATCGCAGTATCTGTTGATGATCAGATTATCGCATGACCATCATTCTTAAAAAAGAAATGTATCATCGAGGAAACATAAAACAAACTGTGTTGTAAATATATATTATTGATCTCCAAGCAAAATGTTCAGTTCCAATAACTCCCTAATTACACATGCCAGAGCGTAAACTTTCAAAAAACATTACCATTACAAAACTTAGTAGTAAATCTTCAGCTAATCAGAAGCTTGATATTCTGTATCAAAATCTAAAATTAGATGACCAGATAATCTTATATGAAATGTTGCAATAACATGAATTTGAGAATCAGATTCAGATGTGTATTTGGATGTCTGGTTCAGCAAGGAGGGACAAAAGACATGGAGACATACGAATAAAGTTTATGATATACAATAACCAGTGATTTAAAAAGCGCTAGGCGTCAAGGTCCACAAACGCCCGAGGCGCTAGGCGCTCGCCCAGGCGCTCGCCCGAGCGAAGCGAGGCGCTAAATTATAAAAATATATAATATAATTATTTAAAATTATCTAAATTATAAAAATATATAATATAATTATAACAATAATTTCAAATAAATAAAAATTAACAACATTAAAATCAAAATAATATATTATTAATCTATTAACAGAAAATTAATCATTTAAAAATTCAAATAAACTTAATATTAAGAGTATACTGAGCCTGATGGAGAAACGAGGAAGCAGCGGCGAGCGGCGGCGAGCAGCGGCAGCAGCAGCAGCAGCAGCGACGGCGAGTGGCGGCAGCGGCAGCGGGAAAGGGAGCGGAAGGCGCGAGCAGCGGGAGGCCTCGAGGGAGGCGCGAGCAGCGGGAAGGCTCGCGGGAGGCGCGAGCAGCGGGAAGG